CAAGTACGGATATATGTAAGGGCATGTGGGGGCATATGTTGGCAAAGTGAAGCGTTGATAAGTGGACTGTATAATTGGGGGAACAGAAAAGTTATGTGGTGTAAAAAATGACACTGATTGGGGAAGAAAAAAACAAATATTACGACAGCGGCGGACTGTTTGGTGAATTTGGAAATTCCGGAACTAGTTCACACCGGCTGGCCAATATTAATTATGCCTTCTTTTTGTCACCACACAATTTCACTGTTCACTTGCGAATTTTTCGCGGATTAATTGCACCAAAAAAAATGTGTATGTGTGTATGTATGTATATGGATGCCCATATTCCTCGACCGTTGGCAAGCGAATGGATAACGGAGAGGCCAAAAACGGCGAGGAATATGTCGAAGCACAAAAAACGGAGACGGATGGAAAAATTTGTAGAATATGTTGAAAATCTCAACGAAAATTAATGTTCGGTCCACTGCTGAAGACCGGCAGAGAGACGGAGACGGAAAAAGGTCGTACTTATCTTTTGGCGGAATAATGCCGGGAACTGCTGGTAGTAAATATCCAAAAAATATCCGGATAGAAGGACCAAAATGTTGTAGGGGGCCGTTGCTTCCGCAAAAGATTCCAGAAGTGGCAAAATAAAAAAAGAAGTCGGGGCGTCGTGGTTGAATTCAGGAACGCTTCCAGCTTTATTCGCTGCTTACAAGAGATTAAAACTTAGCTAGAATAATAAACGGACGATCGATGACGGCCGACGAGCGAGAGAGAGTGCACAGAGGGGCGAGTGCGGATGCGCTCTTCAGCGCGGATGCGATCTTATGCACAGCTGAGCGGCACAACGGTCCCTCACCTAAACATTGTTAATTTATAAATAAATTAAATAAAAAAAACCATAAATATAAAACCTTTTCGGACTCGAAGAAAAATAACCGCATTTCATTTTTTTTATTTCCTTCTATTTACATTTGCAACTCGAATCATTGGAATGAAACGTACATTTTTTTTCAACATTCTCAATTCATTCAATTCGTTTCCTTTTTTCTATTATTTGTGGAAATGAGTAAGCGTAAGAGAACCAAGGCTCCCACACCGGGTTGGCTTTGCTTTCAAACTCATTATGAGCATTGTACATTTTAATTTTTGTTTTTTGATACTCATGCTGATGTCTAATTCTTACTTCTTGTAAAATTCTAACTTTATTTTATTTTATAAAATTAAATTTCTTTATATAAGTCCGAGTTAATTTTAAATAAATTACGAATAAATTGGAGTAAACAATCCTTTTAAATGATATGCTATACCATGAAGTATATTCCTATAAAGTATATATATTCTTGATCAGGATCACCTCCTGAGTTGATATGAGCATGTCCGTCTGTCTATTTTTACGCAAACTAGTTTCATAGTTTTAAAGCTATAGACTTGAAACTTTGCACTCACCCTTTTTTCCTTTGCATGCAGTTTATAATTTGGAAAGGCCGAGATCCATATAACTGACTGATCGGAAATGCTGTAACTTTGTTTTTTGAGTTAAAGAGTTCGGATTTTGCATGAGTGCTTATTTTGGCAAAAAACATTTCATAAGGATCGGTTAACTATATTCCAGTGGCTGGCACCCCAATACATTGATATGATTTTAACGCATTAGTGTTAGTAACGAATAGCAGAAAGAAGCCTCTGAGCATGACACATTTATAATGTGTGTGTTTGGCAGAGCTCGGGCAGAGAAATTTCCTATGCACTCGGGATAGGGCCATGCCGACCAAAGCTATATTCTATAGCTGCCATATAACTGAACAATGAAAAATTACCCAACTTTCTGGAATTGAATCTGGATCTGGATCTCTGGAATTGATAGACGGATATTATGATGTGGCTTTGGCCTCTTAAATAAGAGGTTTAGCAGCCACCGTCTTATTTTTCAAGCGCATGGGAAAAAATTTTTGAATTTGGGATTAGTCAAAGAGGCATCATCGAGAGGACTCCGTGAGCACTCAGGAAATTACCGAATGTGTCATCGCCAAGGTGCTGCTGGTCCAGAACCCGTCCAGTCAGGATACATGGAACGAGATGCAGACGGAGCCGGAGAAGATGGACTGCATTCCGACGTAGCTGCCATATAACTGAACAATCAAAAATTACCCAACTTTCGTGTTTTTGGAAAATTGGAAATTTGTAAAGATTCTATTTTTGGTTAGTTGATCCAACCAAATTTTAAAAGTATCGGCCGTCTATATCCTATTGCTGCCATATAGCTGAACGATCAAAAATGGTATTTGGTAAATATACCAACATTGGTATTTTTGTAGATAAAAGATTGGGATTTTGTTTTAAGTTTATTTTAATAAATTTGTCGTTTATCGCTATAAACCAGTGGTGGGCAAACTCTCATTTTACCTAGCACGCGAGTATAGGGTAGGAAATTCTGCCGCAGCGCTGCCGGCACACTGACAGTGTGAGCATTCTCAATTTTTTTTAGAAGCTCTCTCATTTGCTCTCATTTTGACTCATTTGACAGCCCAAACTTATAAATCAAAATGTTTCCACTGAGAAAAATTGGGTTGAAAAAAGAAAAATCCTTCAGAAATTGGGTTGGAAGAAGTTTTCTTCATGGAGAATATAGATAAGGAAGCGTGGTTTTTCATTTGTTTAAGAAATGTTTGCTAGAAAAGATGTCTATGAAATAAAATACACTATTTTAGTTCCCATTCAAACTTTTGAAAAACGAAAAATGAAATAAAACAAGAAAGGAAAGCTAACTTCGGGCGGAGCCGAAGTTTATATACCCTTGCAGCTAAAGTTGGGTCATTTCCGATCGTTCAGTTATATGGCAGCTATAGGATATAGTCGGCCGATCCTAATGAAATTTGGTAGGTTGGATCAACTAACCAAAAATAGAGTCTGTACTAAATTCCAGCTTTCTATCTTCAAAAACACGAAAGTTGGGTCATTTCCGATCGTTGAGTTATATGGCAGCTATAGGATATAGTCGGCCGATCCTTATGAAATTTGGCATGTCGTATTATTTTGCCAAAAATAGCTCTCATGTCAAATTTGAACTCTCTAACTTTAAAAACACCAAAGTTATACCATTTCCGATCAATCAGTTATATGGCAGCTATAGGATATAGTCGGCCGATCCCGGCCGTTCCGACTTATATACTGCGTGCAAAGGAAAGAAGGGTGTGTGCAAAGTTTCAAGACGATAGCTTTAAAACTGAGAGACTAGTTTGCGTAGAAACGGACAGACAGACAGACGGACAGACGGACAGACGGACATGCTCATATCAACCCAGGAGGTGATCCTGATCAAGAATATATATACTTTATAGGGTCGGAGATGTCTCCTTCACTGCGTTGCACACTTTTGGACAAAATTATAATACCCTCTGCAAGGGTATAAAAATACGTTTTTTTCGCTCAGTGAATTCTCTGCTCTCATTGTTTTTCTCTGCTACGCACACACTCAAATTTTAAACATGTGTTAGTTTTGCCCACCACTGCACTATAGGAAATTTGACCACTTTTTCTGGCCAAAAACCATTTTTTAAAATTTAAAGGATTTAAATAATTTTAACTGCATATCATTCACAATAGATTAATTTTTAATGTTGCATACCAGAAATTTTCATAGATGGCGCCACTGCGAAGAAAACAGCTGTTAAAAACAGCTGTTGATGTTAACATTTACATGAGCTTAGAATTTACGATTTTTTGGTGCGATTTTAAAAACACGAATACTTAAAATTTTATGGACAAAATAAAAAGTTTTGAAATGAATACTTTTTTAAGTGGTTTGTATTGTGTGTTTGTGTATGTGAAGTGTCCAAAAACTGTGTTGTCCTTTTAATAAAGTGAAAATGTAAGCAGTCTAGCATAAGAAATTTTTAGAAATAAATCACATTTTTAAAAAGAGATTTAAACCAAGTCTGGCGGAGTCGGACAATGTAATTTAGTCCATGTTGTAGATTGTTTAATTTTCTTCAAATGAGTGAAATATGAATATGCATAAAAATGCGCTTTCGAAGAAATTCATAATTTAAGGAGGCAACCTCAACACCTTGAATGTGAATCTGTTAGCTGTGAGACTAGTGCAAAACCGAACAGTTAGAATGTTATTTTTAAATAGGGGGCGGTGCCACGCCCACAATTTTTTCATTTCTGAGTTCTTTTGACCATATAAACTCAAATCAAAAATCAAAATTTAAATATCTTGCTTAGTTTTTGAGTTAGAATGTGTTTCTTAAAAAGTGGGCGGTGCCACGCCCACATTTTTTTAAAATATTGAATCTATTGACCATGTGAACTCAAATCAAAAATCAGAACTTAAATATCTTGTTTCGTTCTTGAGATATTATTTTTGGCCAGAAAAAGTGGTCATATTTCCTATAGTGCACTGGTTTATAGCAGTTTATTTAATTTTTCGTTAATTCAAAAGTTGCAATCGGCACTAAAATTAAGTATTTTATTTTAAAAAAAGCTTTGCTAGCAACATTTCTTAAACAAATGAAAAACTACGCTTCCCTATCTATATTCTCCATGAAGAAAACTTTTTCCAACCCAATTTCTGTGAAAATTTTTCGAAGTGGAACAATTTTGATTTTTAGTTTGGGCTGTCAAATGAATCAAAATGAGAGCAAATGAGAGAGCTTCTAGAAAAAATTTGAGAGTGCTTACACTGTCAGTGAGCCGGCAGCGCTGCGGCAGAATTTCCTACCCTATACTCGCGTGCTATGTAAAATGAGAGTTTGCCCACCAATGCTATAAACAAAGTCCAATCTAGATAATCTACATTGCGGTCTAACGGTGCTATGATTGGTCAGAGAATGCCCTGCCTTCCTTCTTTAGTTTTTCTTGTTTCAGCGTGGTGTGTTTTTTTTGTTTGGAATGGCCGGGATCAGCCGACTATATCCTATAGCTGCCATATGACTGATTGATCGGAAATGTTATAACTTCGGTGTTTTTAAAGTTAGAGAGTTAGGATTTTGTTTGAATTTTATTATTTAGTATTACAAAATAGTATACGACATACCAAATTTCATAAGGATCCGCCGACTATATTTGATGTTTGCGATATCCTGTTTTAGCTGCAAGTTAATCATGTTCGTATAAAAGTATATAAATACTAAGTATAAAAGAAAAAAGTAAAAAGTAAAAATAAAATAAAATTATATAAGCTTCGGCCCCTCCCGAAAGTTAGCTTTCCTTTCTTGATTTTACAAAGATATTAGTCTATAATATTTTTTTTAGCTTTCAACGCTATTAATTATTATTTTATTTTTGTATTATTAATTATTAGAATACTATTATTTGATTTATTATTAAACGGCAAAATAAAAACTATAAAAATATTCTCTTTTTACCTTGCTAAATATATTTCTTGTCATTTCCACTTCACCAGCAATAATAAAGTAAATAGTTACAGGAAAATCTCCTTCTTTCATTATGATACGACCTGGGGTAACAGCCATAAATTTGACATGGGGAACCAATCGGGCACGAATTTTCTATAGAAAAATACTGTACTAATAATAAAGTTTTAAGTTTATAAGACACTTACAGGTGGAAATTTCGAAAAACATGCGAGATTTGCTACAATTGTGCACAATTTTTTTCTGTCTTCGACAGTTCGTGTAGTATGTGGAGTCCGAAGTAGCGATTTCTCCTACAATCACATTATGTTTATTTTTAAAAGAATTTAACCACAATAAAACCACTTACAGCCATAGTCATCATGCCAACCTTACGCTTTTGACGTACTAACATTGCTACATTTTTTTTCACGTTAAGAGATATTCCAGTATCCTCTGTGGCCTCATTTAGCCATTGCATATTTAAAATAACAATACGAACTAATTTTTTAAACCGGTTCTTTGCCGCTTTCTTAGCTGGAGCATCGAGACCATCACGCTGGCGTTTAGACATGATAGTGTGGGTAGATTTAGGTAGAGTTATGTGAATCTGGGTCTGTGGGTCTTATGTGGGTCTGAATGTTACCCTGTGGCCTGCTAGATCTATGCTTAACATTATAAGTAATCATGTTGAATAAAAATTTAGTAAGTTGATTTTATTTTTTTTTAACTATAGAAAATATTCACTTTTTTATAAACAGAACACGCATGTTTTTTGTTCGCACTGCGTTTTCTTTAAATTTGATTGAAACCAACCGAATTATAAGCGAATTTTATTATTCATTTAAAGAAACTTGTGCAGTGTGCAGAATTGTGTACATAACTAATGAAAAACAAGAAAGCAAAGCTAACTTCGGGCGGAGCCGAAGTTGATATACCCTTGCAGTTAAAACCGGATACATATCGCAAACATCGGATATAGTATGATAATCGGAAAAATTAAACATTAATTTTCTCGGTAAATGTTTAAAAAAAAACATTTAAGGCTGTGCAATATAAAGAATAAAACAACATTCCAGCATCAATATCTTAGTTGTCGCCTGAGCGTAAAAAACTGGCATTTATTTACAGGAAAACATTTCATCCGCTATTTTGACTTGTTGTTTATCGTGCATTCACCCCGTTATAGCAGATGCACAATGGTATACGCACTGCAAATTTATACTGGGACCAAAAATAAGTTTGTAAAGTTTGTGTCGCTGCAGTTTGGACGTTGAAAGTTATGGGTTCTCTTTTTGGGACTCCATGAATTCCGTTTTCCCGAGGTGGGTGACATTTTTTCGTCAAAGCCATGCGTCACGCTTGAAGATTTTTAGATTATGCGCCAGGCTTTATGACCCGTTAGTCAGGCTAAGAAACTCCAGCGCCTGCCGTCATTATTATTGTTGAAAAAGTTCGCTCTCTGAAATTGATAGACGGAAACTATGATGTGTCCTTGGGCTCTTAAATTAGAGGTTTAGCAGCCACCGTCTTATTTTTCAAGCGCATGGGAAGAAAATTTTGAATTTGGGATTAGTCAAAGAGGCATCATCGAGAGGACTCCGTGAGCTCTCAGGTAATCACCGAATGTATCATCGCCAAGGTACTGCTACAGAGGCTGAACCCGTCCAGTCAGGATAAATGGAACGAGATGCAGACGGAAGTTCTTGAAACTAAGGTGTCGGATTTTTGAAAGCGTTAATTTCTCGATGACCCAAAGTTCGACGGGCATTTAATTGAAAGCCGAAGACATCATAACCACACTCGATCTTCGTTTGTTGTTACAAGGGTGCCCGTATCTTTATGCCTGTTATAGGGCGATGCGTCCCACCTGATTCAATCCTGCCGTGATTTCATCAAATTAACCCCAGAGGGTCGTCAATCCCACGCCTACCCCACGAGATTTGACGCCTAGGATTGAGTCGCAAATGTCTAAATTGTTCCAATTTAACTTGGGTCTGCAACTTATTAAATATTGGAGTGTGCGGGCAGAGGCACCACAGCCTATTGCCTTTTTCGAATCGAGGTTCTCTCCAGCAGTTGTTCAGGCATGGATTCGACGTCTCCTACCGTTAAGTCCCTTGTTGCGACGGATCGTATCATTGATACTCCTTCTCTTTTAGCCAGCACCATCATCGTTGTCATGACCCGCTATGGGAAGTTTGTGCCCTGTCAAGCGCTTCCTTAAGGAAGTGTTTCCGTTAAGAACTTAAGCGAGAGCAGATCTATAAAAAGGGAACACCATTCAAGAGCCAAGTTGCTAAACGACTTGATTCGCATGCAGCAAGTGATTAAGAATTCATCAATGAGTTGGACATCCAGCAGAACACCCAAGCCGTTCGTTTACGGACTGTTCGGCAGGCAAAAGGAACGAATACGGAGAATCAGGAAGTGTAGATATCAAGGAGAGTATCCCAGAGAAGGATTCACTTAAACCAGTTGAGGCCATCTCAGCAGGATGGCACCAGAAAGTTTATACAGTAAACATTTTTATTAACAATAGTACTAGCAAAAGTAGTAAATAATTTAATAGTAATATTTCGACTGCATATGGCAAAAAGCCAAACATTGTCGTGTGAATAAAAATAAAAATTGAGTACAAAGATCAAAAAAAGCTTATCAAATTGTATATAGTCCTTTCGATAGCACAGCATTTAGACCACGTCTTTTGGAACTTTTTTGATATGTTACCTTTAGATATTCAAGATGCAGATTCTGCATAGGGAAAGAAACTCGAGATAGTTTCAGATTGCATTCGTAAAGCTGGAATGACTATTAATGTCTAGAAAAATCCTTTCTGCGTGTAAAAGGTGCAGTTTTCAAGGCCCGTGATTCGGAAAAATGTTATAAGCATGGAAGTTTTACCAAAAGTAACCAAAAGTTCGAAAAAGCACAGAAAATTTATAGACAATTTTGTTGCACCCTTGACCGATTTGTTAAAGGCAAAGAGAAAATTCTCCATGACGAAAGAGGAAAGCAATTTGAATATAGAATATGTTAAGGGGTTATATACCTTTTTGAGCGAAAAAATTGAGGGAACTTTGGATTTTTATTTCGTGTGTGTAGCAATTATTTTATGACACTGAAGTTATTTTTTATTGAAAGTACATGTTTTTATTAAAACAATAAGCGTTTGTTCTTAAAAAAATATAAACAATTTACAAAGTTATGGCAATTCTCTCGGAACCCTTTTTTTTATAGCGGCTTGCGGTGACCACGATAGCAGTCCAGCCGGTCAACCAAAATCCAAAAACCAAAAATTTTTATTAGTATAATATTATATCCAGTTCGTGAACGATTAGTTTCAAGAATATTTGGTTTTTCCTGCATACAGTAAACATTTTTCCAAAAAATTGATGTTTTCAGTTCTAAAAATTTTATTAAAAAATTTTTATCTGCGAAATAAAAATGGACGCAAAAAAACTGAATCGTTCACGAACTCGGCACAATCATTACGAATAAATTAAAAAAAATTGAAGAAGATCGATCAAATAGTTTTTGTGTAATCGTGGTCACGGCGAAGGCACTTTTGGAAAAACACGACTTTGAGATAATCGCATTCAAAGTTGCTTGACGCTGTCCGCAGCCGTGACGAACCGCGCCTCAAAACGCTGCTTTCCTATCGAACTATTATTCGGATCTCCATAAAACTTTGGGAAAATATTCTCTAGGAGATATACTTTAGGATTCAGCAAAAAAAAAGAAAAAAAAGGTTTTTTTAAGAAAAAAAAGGTATATAACCCCTTAAGCACCAGTTCTGAGAAGTCCTGATCTTAACAAGCCGGTTTGTATCCATTACAAGGCGAACAAAATGTCCAATAGAGCCAATTGCTTGAAATTTCCATACATAAAAGTCGTGGGAAGCTCAGGTGACCCACTCCACGACGTATACATTTGGAAGTTGTGGGTTTTTTTCAATTTTTTTATAAATAAATTTGTATTTGGTCGATAAAAAGCTGAAAGCGGTGGTCATAATTAAATTTTTAAAAAGAAGAATTATTTAACCTGCGCGGAATTCCAGAAACAAGGTCTGGTTCCCAGCATAATTTAGGATCGTTTCAACAGATTCTGAGGACACAAAGAAATACCCAAAAGCTGGTGGCTATTCAAGCAAATGCATAAGAACGCGTTTACCAATCAATAGTTCGATCTTATGCAGATGTCTATCAAAAGGACTTGCACGAAAACTTAAGCAGCATTCGCTGTGGCTTAAGGTCAGCCATACATTCGGCAATCGGTACGTCACCCTATTATATGGTGTTTGGCCACCATAAAGTACAATGAGGTGGAACATATGCTATGTTAAGATTGATTGAAGTCTTGCATGAAATAGGGGTTGCATTTTGTAGAGAAGACTCACTGGAATTGGCTCGAGTAAAGAAAATAGTGAGTGAAAAAACAGTGAGCGTTAAATTCGTTATAAGATCGAATAAAGTACATTTTTCTAAAAATGTAAAGGACGGTGAACAGCACAATAGTTCACCGTAATTTTAAGCAAAGTTAATTCAATCTGGCTACAACGCAAAACCAGCTAAGTTCGTCGAACTCAAGTTACACTTACCACTTGAATCTATAACCTACTAGGTTACTTCTAAATATAAACAAAAACCCAATCCAAGCCATCTTAGCATTTAAGTTCGTAACTTAAGCAAGGGGACATTATAAAGGAGATCGGCAACATAGTCTTAAGTTCAGTTTTGTAATACAATTCTCATACTTTTGCAATGAAATTGGTCTCGTTTTATTCAGGATAATGAGACAATATGTATATGGGTAAAAAATGACACCATTTCTTGGAAGTTGTACGGAAAAATGGCGTCAAAGTCCGAAAAATACGACAAAAATTCAAAAATGTCAGTTTCTTGTGTAAAAATTGTATCCTTTTTGTTCAAATAAATGTAATTTTTGTAATGTACATTTTTTTTTTCAAAAGCTACAACATTTGACTATTGAAAAACGTCGGAAATTTTAAAATCGGCTTAAAATTACGCGTTTAGGAATTTTTAGGCGCAAAAAAGTGACGAAAAACGTTTTTTTTCAAATAAATCATGATTTTGAGGGTGTTACAAATATTTTAAACACGCTTTTGTGTTATATTCGACCTAATTAAAAATTCCTACTAGGTCTTTAAAAACGTTCCTCCAATTTAATTTTTTTTGTCGCACTGTGTTATTGGTGACCCCAACGTGATCTAGCTTGAACAATTAAAAATGTACTTAGCCCAAACTAGAAAACAGCGAAAACATATCGCCGATATGTTATGATATGATATAGACGCAGATTTGCGAAAGTATCGTACGTCGAAAAATTTAATTTTACAGAAGGTTTGTTTTTAAATTTATTCAGCATAGAAAGGCAAAATAGTCGTGAGTTCAGTTTGTTTTAGTTGCACTAACAGGTAACAGCTTAAATTTGGTTAAAAATCGGATTATTTCCTGAAAAAAATAATGATATTTGCACATATGTTACTTTCGCACGCTTTGTTCACATGGGGTCGGCCGCAACGCATGCAACATACGATAATAAAATAAATAAATTATTTTTAATGAAATAAGTTTTTCAATTATGAAACAGATTGTGATAAATGTATTATTCATCATGTACTAA